GCATTAGAATTCTTCTTAGCTATTCAGGCGGCTGACTTGGTTCTGCTGTCTCCACGGAATCGGAGCACGATAATGCACCCTGCGCGACAGATCAATTCCAAAACATGCATGCCCCAACTGAATCAGATTCTGCGCTCCTTGCTGAAGACCCGCCCAAGACAGTGACAAAAGATGCGTGAAAGTTTCGGACTTCTCAAACGCCGCTGGAATTTGAGAAATGCAGGTACGCCCTTGCAGAGATGCCGCAGGAATTTCGACCAGCGGCCGGCCACTCATTTTGGCTTATTGAGTGTCATTGTTGGCACTCGCATAATCTCGCATACGGGATTGTCAAGGAAGAGGAGTGAGTGAAGCAATTCTCAGCTGCCGGCTGCAAAGGCACAATTTCTGCTGCGGCAACGTGATCGGAGAATGAGGCCACTCTGGGTTCTGCAGGTTTCTTGCTCCAGGTGAGAGTGGTCAGGTTGAGACAACACGCATCAGATGCACTTGTAAGCTAGAATCATCAGGCTGCAGTCGTTTGCCTAGTCCTGTGTCAGATAGGCTGCAACTGCATAAAGGTGGAGAAGCTCATCTTTATGCCAATGAAGCCCTTATGTGGCCAGGGTGCGAGTACTGCAGCACTTCCAGCCCGCTCTGGATGCAGATGCAGAGGCCAGGGCCTTATGGAAATGCAGCATGGTGCATTCCTGAGCTGGAGTCATGCAGAGACAAGCTCCAAGCCGCAAGACATGTTTCACATGTTTCACGTCTGTGAGTCAAGACTTTGCAAGGAGATGCGAGTTTCAAAGTCAACGAACTCTACGAAGCTCGGATCTGCTGTGGTGTCCCCGGAACACCTGGGAAGTTGTACGGTACTTGTAGAGGAGAAACGATTCTGCAACGAATTCCAGCTTAGTTTTTTGAATCATTGTTTAGGCAGGTCAGACCCGGCAAAAGGTAGTGATTAGTGAGACCATGAGACGAGTCAGATCAGTCGGTTGCGCGAATCGTCTCAGATAAATCACCTCAGAAAGTAGCACTTCGGTTTTGGGGTTCATGCTCGGCTTTTGATGCATCACCAAGCCAGGATATGCAGTTCTAAGCTCTCTACCTAACAAAAAGTACTTTGCATCGTGTGTTTGGGGGGAGCGGCGTGCTTTCTGTTTCTAGAATGACAAGGGTAAGTGTAGTAATTTCGTCCCATCCTGATTCAATTTTGTGCCCCCCTCTCGTTCTGATTCACACCTCTGCGGATTGGGCATGGGTCTACTTATCAAGGGCAATGTGATGATCCAAACGTCCAAGCACGGATAACTCGCACGAAGCTTCACCCCTCATTCCCAATGTGCAGATACCATTCCTGCCCTGAGATTATGAGCAAGTTTGTCGATGTCGCCGGTAACAATTTGAAGCGGACCGCTCCGAGCTCAGCCTGCATCCTCGCATGCTAAAAAGAATGGACAAATTCAGCCTTTAAGGCATTCATATTGTTTGCTCCTGCATTCTGGCAAGATTGTTAGATTTTCGATATTCATGGTGCCATTCAGGTCAAACTAGTATTTGCTGGAGCCCTCGCGGCCAGCGTCACAATGGAAGCTGTCGAGAAGGCGTGCCTGAACGAAGCCTGGCTTCAGAGTTGACGACTTGTTCTTGTGCTGGTCATGTTGAGGTTGCCATAGAACCACATTGGTCCGTGCGCATGGCTTTAGCTTGAAGTGTCGTGCAATGCCAGGCCCAGCACAAGGCCCATCGCCAATTCACGTGGATGGTTCGCAAGGCCGATGCTCTTCTGTGCAGATGTTGTAGCTGAGACATGCCTTGCAGGATTCAGGCCTGCAAAGCAGGAGGTTTGTGAGCTTGATGGAACTTCCCGACCCAAGCGCTTGCGCATGCACCTGCTTGCAGGTTTACAAGCCAGAAAACGAAGGCCCAAAGCGCGTGCACCCAAGTAGGCAACAGGCTTCAGCTTTTTGCAGTGTCCGTTGTTGCGAAGAGGGTGCGCGGCCTAGCCACCTGAGAGTACCGGCAAGTAATTAGCTCTTAATCTCCAAGCAGTCATGTCAGTGGTTTGGCACCTCGTATTTTGCTGCATAGCGCCGCCTGGAGCGTCGCAATTGGTGCAAGCAGGTGGCGTCACCTTCAACATGTATGTTGCACCTGAGCTGCAGAAAGAAGTCTGAACAACTTTTTCTGTGCTGATGGTTGTAGTTTAGGAACCTGAAATGCGCCCCATGTTCTGACAGCATTTCCAAACCACGCATGCTAGCAACACCTGTGGAGAAAAGACGTTATGTTGCAATTGAGGTTGCAGCGTGAATCCGCAAAGGCGAAAGACCAGATTTGATTGGCCCATTGCTGGAATGTGAAGCAAGGAAACATGAGGTTTTGGTAAGCCTTCGGAAGTTTATGCCATGACATGCCCTGGACCAAGCAATTATGACCTCTGTGGCCGACGCTTGGGAAGGGCTGCGCAATGCTTCACAGATCCAGCGAACCCCTGCAGTAACAGCGCGGGCCGCGGATCGGACCGTCTTAGAAAGGTATGTGCAGGAGATGGGCAGCTGTCCCGGACAATGCAGCATGGCGAGAGAAGCCACCTCGCATACGTCCTTTGCTTGTGTAGGGAACAATAAAATAATTTGTCGGCCTACATACGCAAAGTCTTTTGTACACCGTCGGTTTGCATCCAATTCCATCTGCAGCAAGCCTGTGCTTTCATTTATCATTGGCGTGCCCGCAGCTGTTCTGAGCCCGGTCTGTTGCATGAGAAGCAAGAAGAGAAGTATTAGGATCAGCCATGATAATCCAACATGAGAAGGTGTACCACCTAAACAGGGGATTGGAGCCAATCCCGGGACGAGCTGGACTCAAGCTGGACTCCACGCTCGTGCTGACGGTGACCGTCAAGAAAGCTGCAGGAGGCGACGGTTTTGTGCCAGCTGTTGCAATGAGATCATTTAGTCATCACGAAGTGATTCTTCGAAAGGCTATGTCTTGGCCTGTTGATGTTATTTCCCACACCTAGCGGGGTTGCTAGATTTTGATAAGTCTATATTCTTCTCGCCAGATGTGCAGTGCCACATCACCCAACCGCCGAACATCCCTGCAGGGCCCGACCGCAGAGTATCCCAGCAGTGTCCAACCGCAGAATACCGCTGCGGCGCCCAATCGCAGTACCTCAGCAGTTGCCAGTTGTCGAATATCTCAGCAATGCCAAACTGCAGTCCCATCAGTGCCAGAGTATCCCAGCATTGCCCAACTGTGAAAACAGCAGAGTATCACTGCAGTGCAATATCCCTGGAGCGCCCCAAAGGTGGAATTCCCCAACCCCAGAACATCATTCGCAACTTCTCAGCCCCAGAGTCTTGCTGCCGCGCTCAACCACAATGACTCCCTGCCTGCAGTGCCCAACCGCGGAATATCCCTGTAGCGCCCTCAGAGTATCCCTGCTGTGCCCAACCCAAAGCCAGAGGTTAGCTGCGGTCGCCCGGCCTGTCCTTGCACTGCGTTTGGGGTATCTCTGGAGTTCCCACCTCCAGAGCATAACTATGACAAGTCCGGAGGGTGCAGTACAATTACATTGCTGATACATGCTCCATTCTGTTGCTGGAAGTAGTTGATGATGCCCCGCAACCACAAAAAGCGAGGGTGTGGATGTTCGGAGTAAATAATTTTGAAGGTTCCTCTGTCAGGCTGATTTGCTGCATCGCGGATGAAGACTGCCAAGTACCGATCGCCAAAAGGTACCAGGAGAGCATGCTACTGGTTTGTTGGCACGACAGCGGAGCCAGGCAAGCCACATGTGGATCCAATGGCCGTTGATGGGCACGAGTGGGCCATGAGCTCAGTGCCAAGCTGCCCTTGCATGACCTTGTTGATTTGGCTGGACAGCCAGCAGAGCCTTGACGGTGTGCGTGGGTGTGTATTCAGAGCCGTTCCTTGCATTACAGAGGATGATGCCCTCCAGCAAAGGTTGTTGTCAATGGCTTTGGGCGCAACGAGGCATCCAGAGTAATGCGGTTGTTGTGCAGGGCTTCCGATCCACAAGGCTGGTCAAGTACAGTAGAAATGGTGCACGGTGGTTTGCTACCAATTTGAGCAGGGAGTTGTGAAATGATGTGAACTGCCAAAGGTCGTTCCCGCAGTGCAATGTGCAATTCCTGTCTCAGGACGATGATGGGCAGCTTGGCCTGAAGAAACAGGCAATGGGCATTGTAGATCGCATGTTGTCTTGCCCTGAAGACTTCCATGTCAGGTGTGGATGATGCGCATTTGCCAGCGGAAGACGGCAGCCAGCGTTGCGTGTCAGCTGGAGGAGACTCATGGATACGTGCACGAGCGAAGTTTGCCACCTCTGCAGGCTCTAGGTTTGAACGGGTCGTCATGAAACTCTGGGGGTGTTGACGCGCCTTTGCATCCCAGACACAGCTCTTCTGAGTTCATTTCGCCCAAGGACCAAGGGCAGGAAATGGACGCTGAGACAGTCGAGGCTCTTTGCTCGGAGGCCTGGCCACTTTCACTTAGAGTTTAGAGCTTGCCTAAGCAGCGCAAACACGAATTACATCTGTCCAGCCTAATGGGTCTCTGTGCCGCAAAGCTTCTGGCAGTCAGCCGCATGTAGTGTAACTGTGAAGAAATTGGAGGTCTGCTGCTATGACCTGGCCCAAGCTCGCCCCAGACGGCGATTCACATGCAATCAATCCTCTGGCCTCATCCTGAACAATTCACGGCCCTGTGAGCACCTTACAGCAAGGCATGTCAGGAGAAATCATGCGAACAGTCAGCCGCAACACTTGCAGAGATCAAAGTGACAGTTCGTCCAAAACCCGCAGCCAGCTAAGCTAGCTTAGCTTCGTCCAGACAGCGGCAGTCGTTCGTTTGCTTAGCCTGCACCATGGAACCCTGCAAGCGGCAGCTGTCGTAGTGCAGCATTTGACCTGGAGGAGCTCTGGCCAAGGCTCTAAGCTTACGGCCACGCGGCCACGTCTCGAGCCACGGTTGGCCAGTCTGCAGGTGCAATGAAGGCGCTGTCGCGGCTTGACCTTTATCGGAAGGCCGCTTAACCATCATGTGGGTAGCAGCGGATTTCGTTGCTTGGTTGGTTTCTGGAGCCACAGCTGGCGCGCATGGGCACATGGGTGCTGTGTCCATGCAACTCTCTGAACGTTTCCAGGTCCCACGTGACTTGACGGAGGCAACCTTGAGCGGAGCCTTGGTGTCCATTTTCACTGTCCGGTTCCCGGGCAAACGCAGCATAGAGTTTGCACAAAGTCACGGCTGCATGCAGGCCACGAGGGAGTCTTGTGAGATTCAGGTCCTGGTGGCGCTGTACCTGTTCTTTGCGGAGTTCACGGCCGCGAACCGAGTGGAAGGCTGCATGCGGTCCTCCTGAAGGGCTTTTGAGCGTAGCTTCCTCTCGAATGTCCCATCTGTTGCTGTGACTTCATATGACTTCATGCTGAGTAACATCCGAATTGCACAGCTGTTTATATCAGCTTGGCAAGGACCTTCCGTTGATTGAATTGGCAAACGCCCTTCGTCCTTGCAAGACCGCAGAGCCCAGCAGACTAGGGAGCAACTGCTGATCAAGAAAACAAATCGTGCCGAAGCCCGTCTCAGACCAGTGGAGCTTGTCATGCTGCCGCTTGCTGTTCCTTTCACCAAGCTGGGGTGACGTTTTTTTTTTTTTTTTAATGGCCATTTCTTGACGTCTTTGGTTTGGCCTTCACAAAGAATGGGCTGTCTTGGTTCCTCAGGTGCTTATACAACGTCGTTGGGAAAGTGAGATGGTCATAGAAGAAAGCAAGACGGAGGATCTGCTTGCCATGTCAGCAATGATGCTACATTTTGATTCCTTAGCTTCACAGACCGCAGTCTGCGAACACTTTTTGAAGTGGGCTGCCTGGTTGGCGTTCAGCAGAGTCATTTCAAGGGAGGCTTGCAAAACTACCCCTGGTGAGGAGAAGCTGCAGATCAACTTGGACATCACCCTCCCCTCGATGCCCTGCGAGCCTGGTTCTCTGCGTCGGGGCGGAGATAAGATTGCCTGGCTTGGAGTACTGCGCCTGCTGCACGGCCTGAGGCTGCTTTCCTTCGATGCGCAGGATGTGATGGGAAGCCATGAGGCAGGCTGCCTTCATAGCCTTTTTTTTCATTCCAAAAGCATCCACGAGAGGCTGTGGCAAGCTTTAGTTACATCCGTTGAAGGTCGATGCCCATGGCAACCTGTTCAAGGAGAAGCTTAGTAGTAGTAGTAGTAGTAGTAGTAGCAGTTATAATAGTACTAGTATTATTATGCAGGCACATTGAGGCTGTAGCGCCCCAAAGTGTACAGCTTGCTATCTCGTGCTGGACTTTCAGCAACGGAACGATGCGTCTACAACGTGCTGATGCTGCCCTGCGAGGATCGCCTCACTTCCAAGGGAGACCTTATAGGGACACAGGAGATTAAGCTGCTGGTCTTGACTTGAGCTGGTGGTGCCTTAAGCTCAAGGATTGCATGAGTAGATCGAAGTTTCCAGAATCCGCAAAAAGACAGACCCTCCTATGATCCCCTCGTACTCTAATCTAAACATGTCCTCAGATATTCAAGGACGCGCTGTTTTTGAGAAACTAAAGCATTCCTTGGATGATGCAATTGAATCAAGCCAGATCGGTCACTTCTGAGTGTGCCAGGAGTGCTTCCATCAGAATGTGCTGTAAGGTCGAGTCATTTCGGCGCCTCGTCGACACTGTCTCGGCACTATAGTTTGGGCTACGGAAACCAGGCCTGGTTGCGGCTGCGGGCCTTCAGTTTGAGCCTTCGGGAATCAGTCGAGCATGCAAGGAGTCTCTTAAGGCAAGCGGAAACAGCATGACTATGCGAGAAAAAGTGGAACACAGAAGTTGCAGGAGCTGTAACAGGCTTCTTTCGGATCATAGTTTATCAACATCGATAAGGATTCAGAAGGAGCTTGGACTTGCTGACAGGATGTTGATGCTCTGCGCAAGAGCATTAACAGTGGTGAGGGCTGCCGCATTCGAGGCTGGGCCACAGTAAAGACGCGGCAGGAGCAGCGGAGAAGAGCTAAGGGGTAGCCTTTTTCGCATTGATTTGCGTTTGCATCTGCACGGATCTGCACGGTTGGCAGCTCCGCTGCAGGCTTCGTCAAAGTCAACAAAGTGCCTGGGTAGCTCAGCCTTGATTGGCGGCAAAAGATTTTCTGCACTATCTGGCCTGGATGTCAGGAACCTTCACCTATCAACCTATAGTCACTCCTTTCTCTTCGGATCCCTCTACCAGGACAAGAGCAAGCTTCCACATTTTCACTGGGCCACTTTTGACCTCTCAGCATTGACAGGTCCCGTGCAACATGCCGCGTCTGTCAACGGGCATGCTAGTCTGCTGTCTTCTCCCTGGATAGTTGCCCATCCCGTTCCAGGAAACCAGGAACCTCAACATATCCCACAAGGCCAGGAGGGGTTGGGTCTTTTGTTGATTATGACGACAAGTGATGAGCTCACACCTTGATACACCTCATGCTATGCCCGGCTCCAAACGGTTTGAACGAATTGACAGCTACTGTAAAGAATCTGGCTACATGGAGACTTGACCTTGAGAAGCTGCATTTCACACCAGGGGACCGAAAGATTTGCAGATTGTCTCTCATCAAGTTTGGTGTAACGTGTCACTGCTTTTGTTGGAAAGGTGAACCATATCTCGTTTGGTGTGGACACCGACATCACATATGCCAAGACCTGACGTGACCATGCAGCCTTCACGTGTCCACAATGCTGATAGATTTGCCGAGAAGAGCTCATAATGCACTTGCTTACGTGGATTTGTCACATGATTCCAAGGTCAGCAAGCAGTTTTTCTCAACAGATTCCTGCTTCTGTACCAAGGTCAAGAACAACTTCCAAGGAACCGGTATTGTTAGTCCACTAGATGGAGTCGTGCAAATCCACGAGAAGGGTGAGCTGGCAGCCTCAGAGTTGGCACCGTTGAGATCCGTCCAAATGCTTACCATGCCTAGCTACAAGTGCTGCAGGCCCAAAGAGAAGACAGAGCCAAAATTCGGTAGCTTGGCTTTTTTGATTAGTTTTTGATCAGGAGGTTTTGGTGTCATGTCGAACATTTGGCAAGGAAGCTGGTCTTATGGAGGGCTCGTGGACTCTGCCATCTACGAGTACTACACGAAAGTGGCCGCGGCCTTAGATTTAGAGATCCTGCGATACCTGGGCAGAGTTACGATAGTGTTGGATGCACACGGCCGAGGTTCCCACCACCTATGTCCCGCTGGACAGACCACCCATTCACGTCCATCAGTGCCTCGCAGCAAGATCATTTGTGACCACTGCACGATGCAAGCTGCCAATCTTGTCATTTTCGTGGGGATAGACAGTCTCGTTTTGCTGGAACTTCGAGTGACAACACATGAGCTACTGTCAATATTAGCCGTATTAAGGGACCCTTCACACTGGACGTAGGGGTTTCTTGTAGTTGAGCATAGTCCCTAACACGGATCCCATTCGCGTCAAGCTGTGTAGAAAAAAGACTGTAGCTCACATGTTAGGCGGATTACGTCACGAGTTGTACAAGATTGGCATGGCCAGCTGCGATTGCACAGCCCAAGCATGACTACGAAGGTTTACTGCGAACTCCAACAAAATCGTGAACCAGCAGATGCCGTGCCGACCTCAGGGGATCCGCGAAAGAGCGTTAATCTCAACGGATGTTTGTCCACCTTCTGCCAGTCTGTTCCACAATCCATTTTAAGCTCCTGCAATGCTTTTGGATTGCTGCATGGCGCCACGCTTTGCATGCTACAGTAACGTCCACACTGTCGGCGAGCAAAAAAACACGCTTAACAGGTCACTTTACCTTCGATATGACTTCTCGCCGGTGACCGTGCGCTACACGGAGACAAAGGACTTGATTAATTTCGCTCCATGCGTTCTATGCTTGTGACCTATGCGGCAGCGAGTGTTTAAAGACCCCCGTATGATTTACATACGCGTGTTTGGGATAGTCTGAATGATAGGTAGAAAACCTCAAGGAAGCGATCACCCTCCGGCAGGGCACCCCGCCCTCCCCTGCCCCCTCCTTGTTGGCCAGTCTAGCCATGCCGTACTCCTAATGTCGGACAGTTTTCTTGAATGTAATTCATTTTATGTTGTTTCTGATTCTGCTGCTGTTGCTGCTTCTTGCAGGTGAGTCTCCCCCCTCCTCCGCGGAGATCTAAGGCTTTGACTCTTTGCTTCTCGCTCCGTGAACGAGCTTCGAAGCCTCCTCAAACCTCCCATTACAAACTTTTAAAGCCCATCAACCTGCCTTATAAAATCACCGTCGTTTGAAATGGTGTGGTAGCTTGACTGCTACAATAGACATGGTAGCTTGCGCTGAGTATTATTTCAGGCCAAGCCAACCTGGCTGTGCGTAGGTAGGCGGCACGAGTGTCGAAACGAGGCTGTCTGGGCATGTCAGGTTGTGAAGGTGTGGAGGCAGGTTGCTCTGCGCGGCAGAAAAATGGCGCCAGAAGTCGGGGAGCTTGATTTTCTTATTGGGGATTGACTGCTTCTAGTTGTCGTAGGGTCCTTGTTTTTTGTCGTGGCTTCAGCGCGCTCTCGCCTTGAAAATCCCCTTAAGGCCCCGTGAGTCATTTGAAAGTGCAGTGAAGCCCTTGAAGAATTTCACAACCTCCCTTAAGCCCCCTTCAAAGGTACTAAAGTGGTTTCAAAACCTCCCCTCAAGCTCTCCTTATGACCCCTCCTTAAGCCTTTTGCAAAAGTTTTTATCCTGTTTGCTTGGTAGGTGTGTCGTGGGTGGCGGCATTTGTTTGTTTTTATGTCTTGAATTTCAAACATGCGTTTTTCATTTCTCCATTTGTGGACATGATGGGGCCGCGAGTTTTTTGTCCTTACGCAATCCTTAGATGCTCAAGACATGGTCGCATGACTCGACTGTTCGAAAAGGTGCTTAAGGTTGGGCCGGACAGAGAGCCTCGAATATGGGGGTTGGTGCGTTTGCTTTGATATAATCCTTTGACCACCCTGTTATGATACATATTGAAATTCCATCCCCCCTTGTGATCATGAAGCAAGGCATGAAATTCGCATCTTCATTGGACCATATAAGGAAGGACACTTCCACGTACTCGTTGGTCCAACCTTTTCTTAAAGCACCGGCTTGAGCCAGACTGTCAGATCTTGCCATTCTGGTGTTGTGCTTGTGCTTTCGGAGAGTCAACTTGCCGAGTCGGTTCCGGCCATTTGTAGAGGCCTCCGTCCCCTTCACCTCCCCCACTTCCACCTCTCCAACTCGACCAGCACTCCCACTCCCAACACACCCTCAGAACCCCCCCTCCCACACACCTACCACATCCCGAAAACCCTTCCATAATGCTTAGAATTACAAGGTAAAGGACAACAAGTTGATGTCATTTAATGTATTTGCCTCTCATAATCTGAAACGCTCTCAAATGCCCTCAACTTTCCAGTAGCCTGGGTTTACTTGTGTGCCCTCAGTACTAGCAGTCCCATGCCTCCCTTTCTACGCATTCCACCTTTCTTTCCTTTTTTGCGGCGGCCTTTTATTTTTTTTTTTTATTTTTTATTGTTCTTTCTACCATTGTTATACTCATCTTCCTGCCTTCATTTTACCCTTGTTCTACCTTACGTTAATCATTCGAGTCACCCCTTCACATCTTTGTTCTACCTTGGTTTCTACCTCGATTCTACCTTCATTCTACCTTCTTCATCCTTCTTCAACGCTAGTGATTCCTTATTACGTAGACCGCGGAGGAGAGTTTCTCTCACTTTGTCGTCCAGGCTCGAAGCCAACGGGGACTGCTTTCTAAATGCTCCAGGGTTTGCCTTTGATGTGTAACGAGGTGCAGATCCGAGCGGAGAGGTTGAGCGTACTTTCGCGAATGTCCAGCCAGGTCTGCGCCGTTGTGGGCGGAATCTTCACGGTTGCTGGGCTTCTCGACTCGGCCAGGGCCGTAGCACTGCGAAAGCAAAATCTGAGATAACCGTCATGCTGCCAGCTGGCACCCCTGGAGCAAAGGTGCTGCACAAGAGCATTGTGCATTTGGCTAAGAAGGCATGCCGCAAGCTTTATTGTAAGTGCCAGCCTTGGTGCAATTTGTCGAATTGGTGCCGCAAAGCAGCCTGTAATCTTGCGGCTTGCGAGGTTGATAGATTTTGCTTGATTTGCTTGCAAGCCGTAGCAGATGCAGGCCGAGATCGGCAAACTGGGCTGAAACGTGCCTTGGAACCTTAGGTCTCATGTCAGGCGGCTCCCTGAGTTCATGCGCAGAGCAGCAGAAGCCCTCAAATACTAGCACTGGTTTTCATGTCCAGGAACTAAAGTTGTGCTCCGCAGCTGTTGGGGAGTTGAGGTTTCGTGGCAAAGGTGGGTGGCATGCTTTGTCCCTTCATATTGTTCAAGCGCTGTGAACCTTTAAGACCCCCCGCTTTGCCTTGCAAATCTCTCTTTGAGCGCTCAAAGTGCCTGGGCGGCCTTGACAACAGCCCCTGCGGATGGCGAAAAAGGGGCATTCATCAAGATCGTATGTCTTTGTTGGGCTAATAATTATTAGAGAGCGCTTGCCCCGCCACGGGCCTGTTATTAACCTGTTGACAGCAGGTCGAGGTTTTGCGGGCCAGCTTGGGAATGCACTGGACATGGTTCCAGGAGGCTGGAGATTGAACATCGAAGAAGGGTGGGCTGCTGTGAGCTCTGTTGTGAACTCCTTATTTCCCGCCCCTGCTACGTTCTGCAGGAGCTTTTAGCTGGACGCTACGACACACAGCTTTCTGGTGAGGCGTCAGGTGGACACAGCGTGGCACCAAGTACCAAACTCCAGCTTACCGGCCTTCAATCAAGCGAAGAAACGGGGAGGGCCTTGCAACACTGGAGGTTTAGAGAATGTACTCCTGCCTCCTTCTGCAGATGCGACTCTGGCTGCATGGCTCTTACTCCAGTGGCTGCACAGCTGAACTGCGAATAGTCCAAGCCCCATGGACAAGGGTATCTATCAAAGTGAAGAGAAGGTTCTACCGAGTTCAACCGCTCCTGCTTTGCGGTGGAAAGTCCTCGCTGGGCCAGCAAAAGCACTGCTACGAATCGCTTCTTCAATGCAGTGAGAGTGAGAGTCCCATGGCCGAGGCATGCCCTTTGGATCCCTCGGTAGCCAAAGTTTGCAAAAACCGGACTCGCACTCAGACAGCTTCTGCTCTTACGGTGCCGCCATATTCGCATGGACAGCTCTGTGGCGTAGTGTAGTGTTTTGCTGTGACAGTGTTTGCTTGCGTGGATCATGCGTTCTGCCTCAAACCTGTCGTAATTCTGCCAAAGCTTCATACCCAGAGTCACTATAGCAGCTATGAGGGTTGCAGAGCTTTTGCCCAAGGCGATCGCCAAATTCCAGTGCCAAGCCAGGGACCCATCAACATCGTTAGAAAGACATCTATTGAGAGAGATTGGGTTTGAGAGATTTCGAAAAAATATTGCCTCCTCGGGGCTTCTTCCAGGTCCACGCCGAAGATGCAGTCAAAGCTCTCTCCGCAAAGTGGAACAAGATCTCCCCAATTCCAGGTGTGGTCGCATTCTGTGGGTGTCTTGTATTGTAGTCCAGAGATGAGCAGATTGTCATTCACAGCTGGACCTGGCAATCAAATCATAGGTCAGTGTAATCGTGTAACCTAACCACTTTCAGGTCACGCTTCCGCGGGGTTCATGCTTGCAGTCTAAACTGCAAAGCCATCATCTGGGGGAACTGTAACGGAGAGTTGTACTGGGTCTCATAGCAAAGCATTGGGTTGGACAAGCCAATCACTTTGGATGTTAGCCAGCTGTGTAAGGGTGTGGCGTCGTGGGATTGAGGGCTATACGGATCCTGGTGCCTCGGGGTTTAGGGTTTGCAGGCCCTGAACCCTAAACCTAGAACCGTCAGGGTTGAGGGATAAGGGGCCAGGGGCGCAGCGCTTATGCCATGCTTCACCACCGAATTTGGAACTTGAGCGTTTTGGGACACGGTTTACTGTCAAGGGTTCTATCATACTTGAGGGTATTGCAGAAAACAGCATGCGCAACACGAATCCTTTTGTTCTACGTCATCAGCTGGTTCTTTGCCGGAATGAGCCAGCAATGCTTCTTGAATGACATTCGCACAGGAGATCTGCAACTTATCATCTTGTTGGAGCTATTGGGACCCCTCTTGATGAAATGCAGGGACTTTCCTGGGATCCCTTAGGGTTGGTTGAGGTGTATCGGCGCCAGCCTTACACAGCGTGGCATGTCCTTTTAATTGGGAAGCCGAAGCCCTACATGCCTTGCGCTTGAAACAATTGCCGTCCCGCAATCCAGCAACAGGCAGTATCAGCCAGAAGATGCCTGGGCACGCAAAGTCGGGGCACACCTGATTGAAAGGTTCACATGGTTACGCATGGGCTCCCAGCAACTTGGGATCCTGAACCGTCTTCTTGGAACCCATGGCAAGTGGACAGCGATTCAGGGCATGGAGTGGTGCGACGCACTTGCCATAGCAGTATGGGACATTGAGGCTCTTTCCTTGACCTGTCCGTTATGGGTTTGTTGACGTAAACTACACCCAACGCTTGAGGCGCTGTGTAGCGAGGTTGGGCTTCCTGATATAACAAAAACCTGTACTGACTCTACTGTTTGTGGCGGGAAGCTCCCAAGAACCACAAATTGTGCCGACAGTCCGTACAGTTCGCCGCCAGAGCTGCCTTGTCCTCTCCGGTTACTGGTGTTGGTCCTTCCTCTGACTCCTCATCAATACTTGCATCACCCACAATCACTACAGTCTTTAAGCTTTGCTACATCACATTCCGCATATCCAACTTTTTTGCACATATCTATCATCTGTCAAGCAATTACTTTCACCATCATCGCTTTAATCAATTGCTGATCGATTATCGTAACTTGCAGATAGGCTTAGGGCAGGGTTGAATACCTGTTGCGACGTTGCGGCCAACAGGTGGAGAAGAAGATAGAGATCCCCAAGGAGGCAATCTTCATTTCACATGCAGAGATCAGGACTTGCACGTCAGCTCAGCATTTTGTATTGAAGGTTTGGCTTGCTGCAGAAAAGCACCGCAAGTCCAACTTCTTCCGGCCAGCATTGCTTGAATCTAAGCTCTTGTCTTCATTCGAACATACTGTTGGGCAGCAGGAACTGTCAATTCAACACAAGCCGCTGGCCACAATTGCTCACATAATGCCATGCATGCCCTTCGCACGGCATGATCATGTACTTGGGGTGAAAGTTGTTATCGGGTTGACTCCAAGCCCGTATCACACTATGTCTGAGTTTTCCTCGGGTTATGACTTCTATGGGCCGTCTGAGGCTAGAATCATCGGAAGGATGTGGTGCCCTTTTCATCCTTCTCACATTTATGGAGGCTCGTCCTGGATGCCCGTGGTTCTCATGCAGAAAGGCTCATGACATGTAACACTGCGCTGCAGTCTTCGAGGCACCGCAGAGTATGGGAAAAGCTCTTGTTGTCTCAGGGATTAAATGATTAAGCATGCGCGACCGCCCGCAACAGCGGCCGTCTAGCTGCTCTAGCTGCTTCACGACGGAACCGATCAGAATTGATTGCTAACGTTATCTCTAGGATCCTCGCAATGCCATGGGTTGCACATTCAGATTTGGCTTTCAAATTGTGACCGGGAATGTAGTCTGATTCGGTGGCAGAATACTGGCACTAAAAGCTCAGATAAATGGTGTAGCACGGTTGCATTTAAGATGGCGCAGAAAAATGAAATGGCTGGTGGAGAGTGGAGGAAGCAGGACAAGCTTGGAAAAGCCTCGCGGCTTGCCTGTTAGCACACGAGAGATCGGGCGGTTTCCGCAACCGTCTGATCGCTCAAACCGTGCTTCGTGCGCATTTGACATTGCGTGTAGCTACAGCCTTCCAGGCAGTCGCTGACGCATTCAATGTCGCTCGCCGCCTTGCTGTCGCGGCAGTCAACCGCCGCCAGCTCCGCCGTTTGTTGGCGGGATTGGCTACGGGAGACACACCGCCAGGCTCTCACGATGGGGGGGCGCATGACCCCAACGGACAGCCATGTTGCAGGCTCTTTGGAAAACACAGGAAGCCCTGATGGATGGTGCACATGCACCATTGGTGATGATTCGGATTTGCTCGCCCACCGCCCTGCCTACGTGCGTGACTCCGCCACTGGTAGCTGGCGCTGGTTCCCCTTTTTGCGGAGGACGCGGACGACATCATGACTCCCATCTGCTGAGAGTGCTGAGTCAGCTTGTACAGGCACAGACGGTGTCTGGATGGTTTGGCCCGGAGCCGCTCCAATCGGCTCGGCGCGCCGCTGCTGTTGTAGTCTACGACAACGTTGAGCTCCTCCCGCAACGGTAGTCGTAGGTGCCGAGGTCGAGCCATCATCCGTCCGGGTGAGATACAGGCGTGTCCGCGACCCCGTCGCAGAACAGCTGGCAGCTGCCAGGCGAGTGATGCTTGCCCTGCTTCAGCCTATTCACTCGGGCGAGCAAGCTGGGCTGCAGCAGTCTCGGATCTAGCCGCCAACGAGCTCATTCGGTTGACTACCGCAGCGCTTATCGGCCTTCCGGTCGGCGGGCGTGAGTTCGATCACGGTGCCTTCCCATGGAAGCTGGTGAGGTCGCCTGGGCGTATCTGCCAGTCCGCCGCGAGAATGTCCTCAAGTCGGGCTTGGTATCAATGGGGGACTGGAGCCTTTGCCCCATCATCGCTCGGGCCATTCAGGCGCTCAACTCTGTATCTGTGAAGAAATACTTGCCATCAAAGTCTCCAACATACCGACCCACCACATGGAGGGCGTCTATGTCGATATATGGCTTCCCGCCTGAACCTGTACTGGCATAGGCCGGTGGCGGAACTTGGGCTTTGCGGCACCATCATGGGCACGCAGGCGGGCCCCGACCTTGTCGTTCTACTTCGCCATGTGCTTTTCTTCGCCCGTGTGGAACTTTCAAGGTCTGGGCAATGTCCCCCTTCAATGGACACCGTAGACTACGCTGACTCCGCCCAATAAACGTCTACCGACTCCATTTGATTGCTGCGGGGTCCAAGGCACAGGCGCCGGTCGAAGAACATGGGGTCCTCTTCCGCCTTGACACAGTCGGGTCATTCTGTCCCCCGCCCAGACATGGGTTGACCAGATGAGCCAGGCTATCAACGACATCCTCTACAGGGGGCGGACGGTCGTCAGCAAGGCTCGTACAGGCCTAGTGCATGGCCGGGCATCCGGCCTCGGACGGCATCCAAACCGGCCTGAGGGGGCCTTCGTGGCGTTACGGCGCGTGCTTGAATCCGTCCCGCCTTGATTAATCCCATTCACTGCCGAGGACGGCCCTGTTGCTGTCATCTACGTAGACGATCGTAGACGTCTTCGCTGGGGGATACGAGGTCAAGGGTGCGCGACCGCATATTCTATGACTTGGGCATGCCCCTTCAGAGGCCCCTTGTGAAATGGGTGGGGCTACATCAAAAATACGATGGAACCACCCCATTCTACAACATATTTTTCTTCTTGAAGAAATAAAAGAGGGGAGCACCCTACGACTGTGACACTTAAAGGGGGGGTACCCAAAATGGAGCGGGGATGTGGTACCTAGCACTGGTGCCTGGATCCCTATGGCTTGATAGCTCTTTGCGCCAAGAAGTACGAAAACAAGATCAAAGATATCAAGAGTTGAACAGAGAATGAAGGAAGCATGCCCACAAACAGTATAAACACAATGCAGATATGCATATCTCTATGTGTGTCTGTATATATATATATGGTCTACCATGCTCCATCTTTTTACCCTACACCTCCCTCGCAACGGTGCTTGGTACCTCGTCCATATGGCTTGTGGCTGTGTGTTGGGAGGCTATCCTTTGTAATGGCGTAGTAGATATGTGAGCAGGTTGGGGCAATTGCATGCAAGTGCTCGCTGAAGACTGAATATGAGCAATTATGATAGAACAGGTTCTTGCTTTAACACAGGCGTTCAACAGCAGACCTGGCAGTGTGCCGGCGCAGGGCATTGGCTCGTGTTGATGTAGAGACGATGGAGTGTCAGCGCCATGGCCTGCTGTGCCGGACCAAAGGCTCGATCAGTTGCGTGTGCGATCTTAGAACTGATGCTAGGTAGCATCATCATGCAACAGCTCCCTTTGGCTAGGCTTAGTATGGCTCAGTGCCATAGTGGTCTTTCTTAGACTTAGACTCACAGTAGGAGAGCGTTGGACCTCGGTCAGGAGATCACTGCCTTGGAGAGGCATGCCGCTCGGCTTCAACGAGCTGCTCTCAGGACCCAAACTTCCAACACTTGCTGCTCTGCGCGCCCGAAGTGTTGAGATTAAAGACCGCTAAGGCAGAGCCCTTGATACATGATGCATGTTTTGCAGGAGGACCACTAGTTCACGGCAATTCTTTGACATGTACACCATGCCGCTGAAAACCTTCATCAACCTGACTGAGATCAGAGCGCACGAAGAGTTGAAAGATGCTGGGATGCTGGTTCATTTTGACTCGAGTCATGGTCAGGCGATGTTCATTTCGCATCAGTGGGCTGGCATTGGGCATCCTGATCCACATCTTGAGCAGATTCGAGTACTCCAGAACGCGCTAAAAGGGATATTGAGTTCAGATACGACTTACATCTCGCCAGGCATTGTCATTGAGCTGTATGTAGGCCAGTCTGCTGCAAGGGCAGCTGAGCTTACAGAGCAGCCGCTATTCCTGTGGTATGACTATTTCTGCTGTCCTCAGGGATTATATGGCGCAGAACATCGTGCAGCAGCCATTCAGAGTATTCCATCTTATGTGGAGACATCTCGTTTTTTTGTCATTCTTTGCCCTTCGATTCGACATGTGCAGCGGGGCACGCTCTTGAGCAAATCTACGTGGGCCTCCAGAGGTTGGTGGGCAAAACCATGCCATACTTCTAGGAGTTTGAAGATATTTGAGGAATATTAGAAATCGCTGTTTTGCAGTGCTCATTAGCGGTAGTCAAATATACCAACATTCCCTGCGACAGGTTGGTGCCGTTTGGAGCTTGTGGTGAGACACTTGAGCAAACGATCGAGCATTGCAATTGAGGTTCAAAGCGCAGGGCGGCAGATCCTATCAAACATGTTGGATTGGGTTGTGCAGCCTGTAGGCGAGGGGGAGTTCACTCTTGCACAGGACGTTCAGAATGTGGGGCAGGTCTTGAAAGACCTAGTCAGAGACAAACTACTGAGCTATCTGTCAGCAGGCATGCTGCACAACTATCGTACCATCCTGAATCTGCAGAGCGTCATCTTCCGACATCTGAACATGAACCCTATTGTGGACATGATACCGGGCTTTCACTCCACTTCTTCCGACCCGTGCCTATTCTTCAAGGACGAGTTCATGCATCAGAATGGCTTCACAAGCATGAATCGCGACTCCGCAGGATGGACTCCCCTGTGCTATGCAGCTTTGGGTGGCAGTCCGTTGTTGATCTGTGCTCTACTTGAGGCCCGAGCTGATGTGAACGACAAAGTCAAAATGAAAGGCTCCCAGCTTGTGAACCTCGGGCATAACACGACAGTCCTGTCCATCTGCGCCTTCTTGAAGCACAACGAGGCATTGACGTTTCTTTTGTCCTCCCGGGCAGATGTGGATGTCAAGGATAGCTATGGAGGCACTGCTATGCACTGGGCTGCAAGTGGTCGCAATCCAGAAGGCCTGTCCCAAGAACATCTTGACACATACAGCTGCAAGTCGTTGTGTTGGTGATTATGCATTTGTGCGTCGGTGTGGGTGCTTTTGAAAGTTGATATTACTTAGTTTTGCCCGATGCCTACGTAGGTGTTCAGATTCTATGTGCACATGGTGCCAGCTGCACTGTGCCAGCCATGACGGGACATTTGCCATTCCTGTTCACCATCGGTGGTGGTGCTGCGGGCGTACAAGTTCTCAAGGACAACCAAGCAACTAGAGTCAGGTCTCAAAATTGTTCATAAAAAGGATTAGGTTCTTGCTCAGACTGCTCACGGAGTGTATGTCTCAAGGTGAGTGTCCAACACCGTCTGAGAGAGTTTCCACCATTTGGATCTCACGTGCAATCAGGATGTGCGTTTTGCACCACCCTTCTATTTTGGTGCCTGTTGGATGGGGAAGCTCTTGTCGGTTGCATGAGAGCAGTCTGCCATGATGTGCAGGAGCTTCTACCACATACTCCGCAAGCTGACATTGCTGAAAGCTTGCTCGCAATTTTTCTACTGGGCGGTGGACATCCAGCTGTGGTGGCGACCTTGATCGAGGCTGGCGCCGACCTGAACTTACAAACGCACAAGGAGAACACCATTCTCAACGTTCTTCTGGCCTACTACAAGGTTCGGCACATGTGGAGGAAGTCTACATTGAGTACGTATGCTTTTCACTGTCGGCGTGCGACACCCTTGATGCTCAGCATTATCACTTGCTCTTTTCAAGCTGCGGCAGTGCTCATTTCGGCAGGCGCGCGAACTGATCAAGTCAATTCGCGCGGTTGCACAGCCATGGATTTTGCCAGACAAATGAGTGCCCCTGACTACATTATGCGGGGCCTTGAAGGTGATCCATCGGCTTGTGAAGCTCTTGTCATTGAACATAGTGACCAATTTTGGCTGACTATGTAGGATGGTCTGACAGCTGCTGGCAGCGGCCGGCAACTCACGACCACAGCTCTTGTCTGTTTTAGTCTTTTTGATCAAAACCGCACTTCCCAAAGGGAAGTGCGTTACTGGATGACTGGATGCAGAAATGCTACAGAATGTACATCTCTATAAAAGCCTGAAAACACTCAACGCGCAGAACATGTCTTCAGTGAAAGTTCGACGCGGCTCCAGGTCTCCGACGCTCTTAGCCTTGCCTTGGCCTCGGCGGCCTTCCTCGCGTCGCTGCTGGACAGGGCCACAACCTTAAATACAGGGAAAGGATTGCAGTTGCTGGGTTCTGCAAAGCCTGGGTTGTTAAGACCTCTCAGCTTCAAGGGTTCGCAGGATTTAGCGTTCAGGCAGTTTAGACAGGGGTTGGAGTTGCACCATGAATGATCACAGGTGCCGTTACACTTCCAGCTCCCGGCGCTCCAAGAGTTTGAGTCGCGTTGATCATGTTTCCACAGCCGCGCTGTTCAGGCTTCAAATCTGCAGCAGGACTCCGAGCTGGAGTCTGGATTGCCCAAGGAGCTGGGGAGTGCATGTGCCAATAACTTCTCACAGAGACTGCTGGTCTTGCTGCTACTGCTGCCGCGGCTGCAGCTCTTGTGCCTTTGCTGTTGCTTTGCTCTTCTGCTTCATCCCGGTTGTTGCTGTCATTGCTGCTGGTGTTGCCGCGGCTCCCTGCAGCAGCTGTTGGTCTCATGATCTCTGCGAGTGCGCATGCGTCTTTGTTTTTGTGTCTTGCGACCTTGCCTGTCGTGGCCAGGATGAGGTTTGGCGTCTACTAGGCTGGTCTGTGAATGCAGGATGTCGACTTTATCTTGCTTCATTCATGAGTGGAATTCGCCGTGTGCTGTGCGAACGTCAAAACGAATTGGATGACTCTTGCACCTACCCTGTGCAGGATCGCGGGGCATATGTCCAGGCGGCCATGCATAGTATTGTATCTGTGCTTGCATGTGTTATGATGATCGATTTAAGTGAGAGTTTCGGAATGACGGACTGTGCACAGGATTTTGAAGATTCATGGTGTAAGCCCTCTTGCAGGATTCACGAACGACTCCTTTGTTGCCTTTGCCAGCTGGAGCACTCAGATGATTGATCTTTCGATTCAGGGCTATGTGTTGCCTGAGAAGCACGTTAGAGCATTGTTGCAACGTTTGTCTAAGCGTATCGGACTTTGAGAAGAGACGTTGGTGACGCAGTTTCTTGCAGCAATCAGCAGCTTGAAGCTCCACCAGAGGCATCAGCAGTCTTAGGTTTGAACATGAGAAGTCCTAGGTGATCCTGCGTTCCGGTGTCATGTCTGGGCACGGCAGCAGCGCTTCTTTGACCGTCTCCGCACGGACACCAAGCACTGGGCTTTCACATTCTGAAAACTTCATGACACGTGACAGGCAAGCCCCCCCAAGATGCTCAGAGTGCCACTGTACGGATGTAGAGATACACGGAACATCCACGTTGCAGAGAAGTCAGTGACCAAAATCCCAGATGTCATAGTGCTGCCTTCTCGTCTTTCAAGATGCGCGAGCCTCTCACATGAAACCAGTCTCATTTGATTCGTGCGCTGGAGAGAGCCTGCTGCTCGGTCCTACTTCGTCTAGAGTGGTGCGCCAGCTGCTGAGTATTGCTCAAAGAAGGCGACAGCAATGCATGGCAAGCAGCTTCTTTGCGTAGTGATATGATGTACTTGCAAGCATATATGCCAAGTCCGTGGTTTGGCAAAGACGGCGGAGGTATTGCCAAGTGCGCAGGGCCCAGAAGGGATAAGATCCTCGGTCTTGAGAGCTTGTCTGTGTAAAGTTAGATGAGGTTCATGTCCTTGAGCATGCTTCTCTGATTAGGTGCAGGATCTTGGAGGTCCCGGTACTACGCCAGACGCCAAGCATATTCGGCCAGATGTAAAGCGGGCTAGCGTGGCCTGGCAAATCAGGGCTGTGATGTGGAAAGCCTGCCTTTGCTCCAGCGCTGGACGCCTGCTGCTGAAGCTCTTCACTCGGTTGTCCCAGGTTGGGACCTTTCCTCCCGCCCTCCGCATCATGTTTGACAGGCTGCAGCAGGTGCCCTCAGACAAACGCGTCAAGCGTACTCTAGTGGGGGCTGGGCGGGCACGCTGAGGTAAGGCCTGCCAATGTCGTGTTTGTGGGTCGCCCCCGAGCTATTTATGACGTCATCCACAGAGCAACTTTAGGTTGGAATCCCTCGGCTAATTGCAGGACCAGGACACCGTGATGTCCGCCCATGATTAATGGGTCAAGCATGGCAGCGGGGTTATAGTGTGTATTCCTCATTTGTGGAATTCGTTCATGATGGGCTTCCTGTGGTGGAGTCAGTGGATTCCACGTCTGTTTTTGAAGGGCTTCAGTCCAGCTTTCCGCGGGAGGCTGGTGGTCTGTGATGGAAAGCAGACTTGCAGAGTGGTCGACGTGGTGCGGCTACGTGAGGAGCAGGTCGGAGATTGCATTCAGGGGTATAGCTCAGACAGGCGAGGCTTCCCGTGTTGTTTTCGACCGCAAGAATGAACATGCAATCACAGGCGTAACGTTTGCGGCTCTGGTTCTTGAAAGGTGGAGATCGATCGCTACTGCTCCAAAAGGCGGGGAGCAAGGTTCAGGTTGATCTTGCGGTGTGACCTGTAGAGATGGTGAAGGCAGGAATGCGCCTTTCAAAGAAGATTGAAGCCCATCTGGCCGGGAGGCAGCTGCTGTCCTCTTTAGGTGCGCACCCGCAATCAGTGACAACCTCGTGGCTTGGCCGAATTTGATGTGGGAACATGGCATGCAGAAATTTGCGCAAGGAGGCTGGACCTGAAGTTACCCCAGCATGTTCTGAATTAATGGTGTTGGTCGCTTGTTCCTGCACTCCCTGCTATCAGGTGGCCTTTGAATGAGGTGCCCCACTGCTGCGCCGGAGGAGGCACTTTGGTGAAGTCAGCAAGCATGCTGCCTGTAAGGACACAGGTCCACCATACGGCGCTTTGCAGTGGATTTCTGAAATGCAGGGTGCTTCCACATGTTTGCTTTTTCATGCTCAGACTAGTAGGGTTACTGCCAGCACGTAGATGTTGTCGATAATGTCCGAACAGCTGAGTATGCGTGGGGTCTTTCTTCAGGTGCTTGGCCCCCTCACAAATTAGCAGCTTTGACCTGGTAACTGCGTCAACTGCCTAAACTTCAGTCTGCAAACGTTGCTTCGCCGACATCCCCAGACATGCCTCAGTGGCAACCCAGGCATTATTGCAGCGCGGCCAGCTCCAACGACAGGTGTGAACGAATATCCTGCTGCTGTGTTTTGGAATCAGGATAAAATCAGCACAGGATCTGAGCTGGATAATCGTCTGAGGCACTTGCCAGTGGAACAATGCTCCAAACTCTCTCTAAGCATATTGCAGCTGCCGACACTAAAGACCAATACCTGTCCAGGGATCCTGCCACGTAGTTCGGCCACACTGCAGTGGCTGGTCGACCCCTCAGGGCTATCCTGCGAGCAAGCTTGCTGAAAAAAATGATTTTCTTGTTCCAACGTCTGAAGGGTATGTTATTTTTTTTGGTGAGCGTACATGTGGTCCCTAGGATTGCTGGTGAGTGCATGTGTTCGGTCTCCAAGTGGAGAGCGAAAATGTGACCCATGGGTCATTTCCCACACACAGGAAGGAGCGTCCTGGCAGGGTGGGTTCCAGCCGGCTGGGGCCGTGTTTGGACGGGTGCGACGCTGAGTAGTTGGAATGTTTGGGTCTAGAGGACCATAAAAGCCACAAGAAAAAGAGCACAGAGACAATTTTTCTAGGCATCAGGCTTTTGTGCTTTGGCACAAGGCAACGTGGGCCTTCCTGCAGCTAGCCCATTCCTTCCGCCCCTCGCTATCACTCACATGAGCCATAGTCTAAACTCCTTAACGGGGACTTATATAGGGGATTATATAGGGGACTACTATAGGGGATATTAAGGGGGATGCTAGGAGTATAGACTATAGCTCACATGGCTTTTTTCAGCTGCTGAATGCGGCCGGACTTACATTGTCAATCACACGAATGCCATTATTTTCTACATGAATGCCAACATCGACTTTGTCGTGGACAACTTCACACCCTGCAGGCTGGTTCTTCGCGGTCACTATGCCATCTACTCCATTGCTTGGTGTTTCCTCTTCGCTGGAGCTTGGGTGTGCTCCTTGATTCACTGACTCCAACGGCCAAGTGGCCAAGCCTGGATATTACAGCTCTACACGCTATTCGCGCTACGTACTCGACATGATATGTCCTGTACTGACTTCGACATCTCCCTTCAATCTGCAGGGCCATACATTTACTGTGATCAGAATAGCCTAGCTGCATACAGGTTGCCTTTCAGGCCACCACGCTCCACTGCCAAGGAAAGAAGAAAGTTTTCTCCAACTTGGAGCTTGTGGGGAGGCTCCTTTACACAAACTTGGAACACGATACCTCCCTGGATTGCTTCTGCTCTTTGCTGTAATTCTGTTTCCACCAATTCCACCAGTCACCGAAGTAACTGCTGTTGCAACGTGCTCCAAACCGTTTCTGCCCACAGAGAGTTGCCGCAGGAGCCGCCAGTGGCCAGCCGGGAGACCGCGATCATCCTTAACTTTACTCTGCTCTTCCTGCGTGGACTTCCTCCTGTACTGAGATTTTAATGAGCGGTCGCGAATCCTGCAGTGCATCAGGGGTAAAATTTCTCCACACACATTGTAAGCCCCAAGAGGCGAGCTAGCTTGTACAATGATTCTCCATGCCGAGGGCAGGAAAACTCCTGTTCTTGCCCCCCCCGAAAAGGGTTGCGAATAACCCGAGCCTTTTCTTTAGCTTGTTGTTGATTTGTTTTCGTTCTCCTTTGCCTTCACCTTCTGGGTGATACATGGCGCTCCTGATAGACTGGCTGTTTCTTTTTTTAGAGGTCTCCTCCGACGTGTAGCGGTCTGCTGACAGGCGGTCTTGACAGTGGACGCGCTTTTCGCTACCGAGA